TTTGTGTTCGGGGGGAGCGGAGGACAGAGGGGAAGCGAGGTTTAGTGGGAAAAAGCCACTGCCGGGGGTTCGAGCCTCGCTCAGCCCAGCCGCACGCAGAGGCTGCACATCCTCGGTGCCTCTAGGGGCTTTAGGCACTTGTCTCTGCGGTATTGGACCACATTAATGTAGTTCTGATTCAGGCTGAAGCAAGGACATTTAAAAAAAAATTGTTTCTTTTTTATTTTTACCTTGCGTGTATGTTTATCTACCCCATTTTTTTTTTCCCTGTACAAAACACAGAATAGGAATTTGTAGGGATTGTGAGGTATTTGTTTAAAAACAGGTTTCCATTTTTATGGCACACCGTTATTTTAAACCTTTCTCTGCAGAGGTGGCTGATTCTCTGTGAAGTGCACATTTCTGGAGCGCTGTAATATTCTTACCAGGTTTTCTGTCGTTTTACAGTTGGCCCAAAGCTTTTCCAATATGTCATAAAAGTCATTGCGCAGACAATACAATTACTGTATACAATGCTGAAGATAGATCAGCCATCCTATATTCTTCTTCAGGTAGGTTTTGTGTTGGGACTAATATTAATAAAAATAAGTAGTACAACCTTACATGGCGTTTTTAGCAGTCTCAGACATTTTTCTAATTATTTGAGAACTAAAAACGGTGTAAACCTATATCAACTTTGATTTTTCTGTTAACAACTCATGTTTGTGCCTCCTGTTGAGCTTTTGAATTTCATTGGCATGGATAGCAGTAAAGAATAAATTTTAACATGAATGTTTGTGTGTTTATTGGAGGAGAATTTTGATCCTGATTGAACAGTAAAGTTGAAGTGCCCACCTATCTTCATAGGATAAACTGGCAGTTCTGTAATTGGTGAATACAAAAGTGTCTCTGTTCATTAAGATCCTGATTTTTTTCTCTGGTAATTGCTTAGTGTTTGTCACTTGATCACAGTCTTCTGCTATTTTTATTTGTTTTATTTATTGAACAGAATCCTCCAGGCTTACCTAGTATAGCTGTTGCCTGGATAGCCTGCCTCTTTTGGAGAAGCAAACTGATAATTGATTGGCACAACTATGGATATACTATAATGAGTATGAATCTTGGAAGAAATCACTTGCTAGTACAAATTGCAAAATGGTTTGTACAGTAATTTCTTTTCCTCTTTATAAATTATGTACCTTTGCAAAATTCAGAAGAATGGAAGCCAGTGGGGAGAATATAATTAGTGAAGGGCTGTTTCCATGCAGAATTTCTGGATTTTGCTTTGTTAAACTGCTTTTTATTTCAGAAAGTGCTTTCTGTAAAACGCCTTTGTTAAAGACGTAGGAAGGCGATTGATGAAAGCAGGTTGATTTTCTGTGCATATGCAAACTTCAATTTTGTTACTAGAATTTCTTTATACGTACTGGGTTTTTTTATTCTCTAGTTCTGCTTTACACTCCAACTCATCGTTAAATGTCCGTTTCTTGCTGAATCTGACTGGTTACGTGTAGATAAAGGCCTCAGAGGCTTTCAAGTCTGATGTTCTTGGACCTTAAAGTATAAGGGAATCATGTAGTATCCCTTCTCATAAACTGATACTGCTGCAGTATAAGGAGCCGATAATTAAATTTCATTTGCTGGGGGAGAGTTGGGTTTTTTTTCAGGCATGGGCACTGTTTGGCAGTTACTGTTTGGCTAATGCAATTGCCTGCCTATGGTTTTTAACTAAGATTTAATTTTTGTCAGGTATGAAAAGCTTTTTGGGCGTTTGTCTGACTACAACTTGTGTGTCACTAATGCAATGAAAGAAGATCTGTGGGTGAATTGCAACATAAAGTAAGTCATATACCTCTGACAAATTAGTGCGTGCATATGCAAAGTAAAGTGAAAGAAAATATCCCTTATTTTGAGTCCAGGGTAATCTCACAAAAGCAACTTCCCAGGCCCGTCCATCACCACTGAAATACATTAGCTCAGTTTTGTAATGAGCTAGTGGAGTGTGGACCTTCATTACCCATCATAATTAACACCCCATTGGCTAGGAGGTGGCAGTCCAGATGTTATGGAAGTTTGCTACAAAGCTGCCTATGGAATTGGAATTAGGCAGACATCACTGTGTTTTTTAGCAATTATTGTGCCCTGCAAACTTTTACAGTCAGAGGGCTTTAAGGTCAAAGTTGCTCAGGGAAGGTTGTGAAGTAAGTTTAAAAATCAGGACAATGATGTCTGCAGTTTTCGCAGTTGTGTTACACTCCTTGAATCTGCACAGAAGGAAGGGTTCCTTTGTTACAGGATTAATACGTCCACCTTGGTGTATTCCAGCAAACTTCAGGAATACAGAAAGTTGTAAGAGTCAAAAAATTAATTATTTTGCTCTACTGATTTACTTAATCACTTTCTACATTATGTTGTAGCCTGTGGCTTTACAATACACATTTTGTTACATCTGGCTTTTATTTACCTTGTGAATTTATTTCATTACAGGGCAGTAACAATGTACGACAAGCCAGCTTCTTATTTTAAGGAAACACCATTAGAACTTCAACATCGTTTGTACATGAAACTTGCCAAAGACTATGAGGCTTTTAAACCACGGTATGTGTAAGTGAAGCATGCAGTTATAGTCCTTAACTGAATGATTTAAAGTTATTGCACTTAGTTATCAGAAATACTTTTGCACGGGATCACAAGTTACTGAAAATCAGCAGGGAGGGTGGTTTCTGTATGCTCTTAGCCGGCAGCTGATGCTGTGCAAATTAGCTTAGTTGTCGCTAGGAGAGGCCAGAATGAGTGAAATGATTGAACTGTGCTAAGACAATGCTTGATGTGTGGAAATAATGAAGTGTTTATTTTTAAAGAAGTTGGTATAAGTACCGAGGCAATCTGTAATAGATTGTCTCTGGGGTGGAACTCAGCAGTTGTCTAATTCCCACTGAACTAGATGGCAGGGATTGGATGCTTCATTAACAGCATCCCTTCCTTTCACTTACTATGGAGAGCTTTTAAGCGTTAAATGTTCCCTGACTATGTTCAGGGTGTCTCCTATAGTAGATTTAACAGGGAGTTGCTCTGTCAAATCAATGCTTGAAAACCAAGTGAAAGCCACCAGCTTCTTTTTGGAAGTGCCCACCACAGAATGTATAGGTTCTGAGTTCAGTTGAATAAAGGCACTGTTGGCCTCCATGCTCTACTATGTGTTTGAGACAGAGCTGGAAAGAGAGGCTATTTTCTCAGCTCATTAAGGAAAACACTTTGTTAGAAGATGGGATCGTGCCTGTAGCAGTAGTATCACTAGGCTCTTGGTAGCAATAGAAAAGATGAAAAATTATCTCATGATCAGGTATCTCTGCAGCTCAGTATTGTAATGTCTTTGTTTTTGGAGAAGTAGAGCAGCAAATCTGAACAAAGTGTTTGAAATTCATGCCAGTTAAGCACAGTATTTCCTTCTGCGTTTGTGTAGTCCATACTCAGAAAATCCTGTTTCTGTAGTACAGAGTCTGTCGGTTGGAAGGCAGAGAGGTCTGCTTTTACAGAAGTGGATGAAAAAAATGGACACGTGATAAAGACCAGAGGACGGCCAGCTCTTCTCATCAGCAGCACAAGCTGGACAGGTTTGGAAACAAATAGTTCGTCACTAAAACTGGATAAAATATTGACACCATGTGATATAGATAAGCAGACCCTCCTTTATTAACAGCTGGGTGCACAGGGGAGTCATCTCACCAGCAGCGCACACCTAACTTGTGTAGCATGCCGATTACATAGGGTACAGTCGGACATATTAATCACTTTCTCATACGTACAGGAATTAACTCCTTTAACTCAGTTTCTTATTCCCACCTCTTTCTGGTCACATGCACTTGAGTCCTGAAATGAGTCGAGGGCAGCTTTTGTGACCACCACGGACTGCTGACCTAAAACAAACACTCTACAATGCCCTTGACCCAAGGACTTTGGCTCATGTTGCAGTTTTAACATGCTTCGAGGCCCTTTCACAATACAACCGTTAGAACACCTCTTCTACAGGGCAATAAATCATCCTCTCCAAACAGTGTTAACAGTGGTACCTCGTCTAGCAACATAACTGCTTGTATGGTTACTTTAAACTAAATACAACATCTCTGTGACGACCTAAAACATTACACCACTATTTTTTATAAAAACTGATATTTTTCTGAGATTCCATTTAATTGATTAGTCCTAATCATTCCTTATCAAAATCACCAAAAATCATCAACTCAATAACAAATCAGTAACTGTAACAGTTTTATTTTTAATACTTAACCACTGTTTAACAAAAGGTAAAACTAGGACTGTTTACACTTCCTCACACTTGACACCCTGTAGAGGCACATTTACATCATCAGTTACATTTTCCCTTCATTTGTCTGGAAGAATTTGAAGACAAGTTGTATACGGTATATCTCAGTGGCTAAAAATGAATGATTTTTTTAAGCTGTATTTTAATTATAGAGCTACAGTCTAGTTGCTCAGTTTCAAGAATGATTAGAGGAGATTTCCAGCTTCTTTTTTTAACTTTCATTCTAGACATACTATTTTGCATGGTAGTGTAAAATAGATTAAGAAACTAAAGTATTTGCTCTTTATTTCTGATAATATGTATTACATAAGTATCTTTTTTTTCCTCTGTATGAAAAAGGGAACAGTGGAAACAAATCCATTGCTAGTAACCGTGGGCACAGTTGGCTATACCTTTGAATTAACAGGGCAGTTTCTACACTTAATTCTTCAGCTTCAGAAACTAGAAAATGTTAACTTGATAGCTTTGAGGATGTTCAGTATTTGTGGTTTGTTTGTCTGCCATGGTGCCAATAAGGGGAGCAAATAAGGACTGTATGTGGTTATAGACTTTTATTTATGAAAATAGTTACAGCAGATTTTTTAATAGGAAGAGCATGGTCCATACTTAAATCATGTAGAGGAAGGTGAGGAAAATTTTGATACTTAAAGACAATAATTCACTATAAATTATAGAAATATGAATTATACTAATAAAGCCTTTTCTTTCAGAGGATGAAGACTTTTCAGTCCTTTTAAAAGCTTTAGAAGGTAGGTATGAGGGAAATAATCTCACCTATTTGAAGGGGAATGGTTGTATTCTGGACAGTTATGATGAATTTTATTAAAGAACAGTGCTCCCATATTTGAGTGAAAGTGCGGGTGTATTTGATTAATTAGCAGTGGTTTAAGAGTAGTAGTTGAATTATAGTAGTGTAATATCTGTATTCAATTAGAGTAGTTGTCAGGGAGAATTATATTTCTAAGTAGCTTGTAAATTGCAGTTTAATTTTCTAAACTGTTACATATGCTCTTCATAGGCACCTACCAGTAGGAAAGGAGGGAATACACATTGTCTTATTTTGGAGACTTTGCATCTGCAGTTTCTAGAAACTGCAGATGCCTGTGCAGTTGATAGATTAAAGAGTTGATAGGGTGTAGTTGAACAAATGCTTTGTGAACAGTGCATTTTAAACAGACCATAATTTATTTCTGTAGAAGTTTGTCAGTTTTAATGTTGCTAAATTTACTGCAATTTTACTAGGTATATG